AAGAGACAGCTTTTATTCCACCAAAAATGTGTGTTGGTGGCTTTTGCCACAGGGTGATATTACGCGTCTAGTGTGATGATTATTAAGCCATCACTGCTGGCTAACGTCTGTCGTGAAAAGAGAGCCGAATGCGTAAGTCTCTTCTGCCAGTACATAGCCTCTGCATCACCAAGACTCTTGTGGTGCCTCCTCGTGGCAACACACGGTACACTGGGTGTCTTGAGACCTCAGGCCGAACCACAAGGAAACTCGGAGGAGCCTAGCCCCCAGAGAGAGACGTGCACGGTCCATCGGCGTGTGGATATACCCTGACGTCCATCAACAAAGCTCCAGCTATGGATTAAATAGCACCCACTGCCTTGTGGATCAGGCTCAGGAAAGCCCAAGGCTAATGGAGTACACCCTAACAGAAAAACCGGAGTGGAGCCCCGTTAGGCGGTTGGTGCTATGGATGCACCCTCTGGCAACTCCTGCAACCAAACTGACTCTAGACGTAGAAGCATCGCTTTTCCTCTAGACACAGCCAGCAAGGTCGAGAGGGGGACCAAGATGCCGGGCAAATCTAGGTCCCCAGGCTATTGTAGCAAATCATCAAATCATCAATCATCATGGAGAGGACACTTCATCCTTACTATCACTAGTAAGGGAACCAACACGGGGTGTAGCACTTTACGGGTTATAAGTCCAGCTAAATTGGCGTTGTGCATGGGCGCCACGGGTTACATCCGACGGTGGGAAGGATCATCGTATCCTATTGGTCAGTATCCGCCCGCCTAAGCTGGGCAGCCCCCAGCCAGTAAGGTACTGACCCGCCAACGTCTGCCTGCCTCTGCGGGTGAATGAGGATAGATTAATCTCGAAAAGCGGACGGAAAAATGATACCCAGCAAGAAGAAACAGAAATGCGAAATTTTCCAGCTTGGCAGCTGGAATGTCAGAACCATGTGTTCTGGCATGAATGAACATATACTGATGACAGAAAACATACGTAAATCAGCACTAATTGACCGTGAGTTAGATAAACGTTATATTGATATTGCTGCACTACAAGAAACAAGACTAGCAGACACAGATTCAATACGTGAAGTAAATTATACATTCTACTAGCACGGCAAGAGTTCTGAAGATCGCCTTGAATATGGTGTAGGCTTTGCAGTAAGCAACAGACTAATACAGAAGATTGAATCGCCAGTAGTAACCTCTGAACGCATTATCTCACTACGTCTATCATCAAAAGGAGGATTTGTCAACATTATTAATGTTTATGCACCAACTCTGTATGCAAATGAGCAAGATAAAGATAGTTTCTATGACTGTCTAAATGAGATTTTGGCACGAGAACCACACGGAGAGAAGCTCTTTATTGTTGGCGACTTAAATGCACGTGTGGGATCAGACAGAGTTTCATGGCCAATGTGCATTGGTTACCATGGTGTGGGCAGGATAAATGAAAATGGGCAACGTTTACTTGAACTCTGTGCACAAAGAGAGCTATGCATCACAAACACCTATTTTCAAGGAAAACACCGACACAAGGTTTATTGGCGTCATCCGAGGTCTGGTCATTGGCACCAACTTGACCTTATTATCACCAGAAGACGTGATCTACCAAGCGTTCTCCATACTCGTACCTACCACAGCGCAGATTGTGGCACAGATCACTCTCTTGTCATCAGCAAAGTAAAGTTTCAACTACGGAAACTCCACACCTCCAAGCATGATGGTCTACCACGCATTAATATTGCTGGTACAAAAAACGAAGCTAAATGCCAACAGTTTATTAAAGCAATGGAACATTCACTGCCTGCTGAAGGCCTGCAAGGAAATGTAGATGAAGTTTGGAATACTATAAGTTCCACCATCCATAAGACTGCGGAAAAAACTTTTGGCAAAAACAGAAAAAGCAATAAAGATTGGTTTAGAGCCCACTCAGCAGAAATGATACCAGTCATTGAAGCCAAGAATGCAGCATACCTCACACATAATCTAAACCCAACAGTAGGCACGTTTAAAGAACTAAAACTTGCAAAAGCTGCAGTTCAGAAGACAGCAAGGTACTGTGCAAACCAATATTGGATCAAACTCTGTGAAGAAATTCAGACGGCATCTGATAAAGGGGACCTTCGCACGATGAATGAAGGTATCAAGAAGGCCATTGCACCCACTATCATAAAAACCGCCCCTTTGAAATCACTGGATGGTGAAGTACTGACCGACAAGAATAAACAGATGTCTCGTTGGGTGGAACACTATCTTGAGTTGTACTCCAGGGAAACTGATATCTCACAAGTTGCACTTGATACCCTACCTCAACTACCTGTTATGGGTGAGCTGGATCATCAACCTTCAGTACTTGAGCTGAGTCAATCTATCGATTCTTTAGCAAATGGAAAGGCACCTGGTAAGGATGGAATTCCAGCAGAAATACTTAAATGTGGAAAAGGAAGAATATTACCCCATCTCTATGATCTCCTCCTCCTCTGTTGGCGGACAGAAACCATCCCACATGATATGCGGGATGCGAACATCATCACTCTGTACAAAAATAAAGGAGACCGCGGGGATTGTAACAACTGCCGCGGCATATCCCTCCTCAGTGTTACAGGAAAAGCCATAGCTAAAGTTATCCTTAAGAGACTTGCACATCTTGCTGATCGCATCTATCCAGAGGCACAGTGTGGTTTCCGACCATCAAGATCTACAGTGGACATGATCTTTTCCCTCCGTCAACTGCAAGAAAAATGCAGGGAACAGCAGATGCCGCTATTCATTGCATTTGTCGACCTAACAAAGGCGTTTGATACAATTAGTAGAGCAGGTCTGTACAAGATCTTAGAGAAGATTGGATGTCCACCGAAGCTCCTCAATCTCATACACTCATTTCATAAACACATGCATGGTACTGTACAGTTTGATGGCTCCACATCTAATAGCTTTGAGTTAAAGAGTGGAGTGAAACAAGGCTGTGTTCTGGCTCCCACATTGTTTGGTATCTACTTCTCCATGCTCCTAAAGTATGCCTTTAATGATGAATTGGAAGGAGTATACCTGCATACAAGAACAAGTGGCAAACTTTACAATATATCCAGACTCAAAGCAAAGAATAAGGTAAAATCCATCTTGATTCGTGAATTACTATATGCTGATGATGCAGCAATCGTTTCACACACAGAAGAGCAGCTCCAGAGGCTTATGAATCGGCTATCTCATGCCTGTGAAATGTTTTCACTTACCATCAGTGTCAAGAAAACAGTTGTCATGAGCCAAGGCACCGAACAACAACCACTAATCATACTCAACAATAAGCCTCTTGAAGTAGTTAGCAAGTTCTGCTATTTGGGATCAGTGATGACAGATAATCTGTCACTTGACCAGGAATTAAACGCAAGGATAGGAAAAGCGGCTACAAACTTTTGGCAGACTTACAAACCGCGTTTGGGCTAACAACAAACTGTCTATTAAGACCAAGATGTCAGTATATAGGGCCTGTATTCTCAGCATCCTGCTTTATGGCAGTAAAACGTGGAAAACCTATAGCCATCAAGAAAGAAAATTGAACAGCTTCCATCTACGATGCCTTCGCCGCATCCTCGGCATAACTTGGAAGGACAAAATCACAAATGCTGTAGTTCTGGCAAAATCTAATTTGCCAAGTGCCTTGGCACTTATCAAGGAGAAACGACTTCGCTGGCTGGCTCATGTATGCCGAATGCAAGACGGTCGAATCCCTAAGGACATGCTGTATGGAGAAATAGCAGATGCCAAGAGACAAATAGGACGCCCAAAACTTCGGTTTAAGGATGTTATTAAAAGAGACATGAAGGCCTTTAACATAAATGTTTCTAAATGGGAAACAGTTGCAAATGAAAGGGGTGAATGGCGACGTATGCTCTGGAATGGTATACACTACCATGATGAAAATTGGATTGATCAACTGGCCATCAGACGTACACGCAGGAAACAGAGCACCAGCCAAGTTCAAACTATTGGTGGCTACAATTGCAATAATTGTGGCAGGTTTTGTCGCTCACAAATTGGACTGTTCAGCCATGAACGAAAGTGCAACGGTACATAAAATTAGAAACTCTCAAAAAGATTGCTATATATCCAGCATCCCAAGGATGGAAGGATGCCATTGATGATATATATATGTATGTATGTATATATATATATAGGTGGTGTTGGCCTCTTCTAAAAATTCTTTATTTTTCACATGGTATGAAAGAGTCTCTAAACCTATTAGTTCTGATAAATGGAGTTCTTAGTCTGTACGTTCAGCTATATTGTCAACTTCTACACTTGAGACACGCTATTTTAAGCATATTTAAGTTTTACAAAAATTAGGTGGGAACATGTAAAAAATAGATATATGCAGTATAGAAATCTTTTATGAATTCGGATCACATGACTTTTTAACAATATTTGTCATGTAAAAAATTATAAAATCATAACAATCAATTAAAAAAATTAATTTTCTCATTTTGAAGTAACTTAAAAATTATCAATTTAAGTGTAGAAATTAGTTAATTAAAAAAGAACATGAGATCAGTAGAATTATGAATAAACATTTTTAGATTTATATATTCAATTTGCTGATTTTAATGTTACTTCCAAATGAGCAAGTTAACTTAAAAATTGATTTTTGATATGTTTTAGCAGACAACGCATCTTACTGCAAATTCATTTCAATAAAAATAAATGTGCATTTATAAATATACATTATGAAAATAGAAAGATGCACCATGAGACTATCTAAAATCAAAAAAGCAATCATAAAGTAGTAAACGACTTATTAATACAACGTGGACCTAATGTTTTGCCAATATTCAATATGAATGATGCACAGTAAAGTTAATTAGAACACAATTGAAATTGTATACGTACGTTTAGGGTTTTTGACTACGTAGTCTGTAGTTATCGTAGTATTAATGCGTGTATATATACATTATTTAAATTATTATCACTAAAATTAACTATTCTGTTTTATTCTCCTTTATACAGTTGTCATATTCTTCGTGAACTCTGTAAGTGTGCCGCTGAGTACGCGACTTCAGATATTCTTGTGCATCGTTAAAATTGTTGGACTATTTCTAATTATCATTGTCGGAGCCTATCACTTTATCAACGGTAAGTTATGGATATCGATATAATGGTTAGTGATGCATTGGTGATAATGAAGTTTCTTTCCCAATGTTATATGAAAACAATGTTGAAAATACATCAAGCAAGCTTCCACCTAGAGAACTTCAAGGCCTTTCTCATTGAACATCTTTTTCTTTCATTTCCCTCTTCTTCCACACTCCTTTGGTTCCTCAGTGTCCTTGTGACCGTGTGTGTGGGTTGTGTAAAGCGATTGAAGCGTTTGTATTTTTGCTATTTAAGTATAACCTATTATTATTAATTTATTTTCATTTATTTATTTATTTATTTATTATTATTATTATTATTATTTATATTATTATTATTATTATTATTATTATTATTATTATTATTATTATTGTTATTATTATTATTATTATTATTATTATTATTATTATTATTATTGTTTAATGTGTGTGGGAAAAATGAACAATTATCGACCTAGAAAGGAATACTATACAATTCATCTTTTATTTACCCTGTATAAGTGATGTTCACACACTATTGAATAACATAATTACATTATTCATTGGATCTAATTTCCTCGCCTTTCTTGTTGGCAATGTCATCAATAAAGGCTGACGTGTTGCTGTTTAGAATACGGCCATCAACTAGCGCGACAAGTGATATGGTGCGTGTAAGTGCGTATTTCATACGCACATATTGCTATACACCAACAAATAACGCGCGACGACACGCTCACATTTGACTTTCATTCTACGTGTCGTAAGTCGATGATGACAATTAAGTTTGGCGATCGATTCATGTGGACTATTAACGTTGGAGACCTTCGGGTGTATTTACGGTCAAGCCATATTGACAAGACAGTTATGTACTGAATACTAACGAGTTAAAATGAAACTTTGAAATTCTCAATCAAGCAGATTTCATAATTCTAACATGATACCTAAATTCGAAATTTTAATATTATCTTATGTTTTGAGTACCACGTGAATAGCAAAGCAAAACAAAAAAAAAGTGATAAGGGCCTCTGAAATCTGTCGGAGGATTATGATTTTTATTAATTAAGCCGGGCACACGCTGCGTCATACGACCGTCGCCCGACGAATCCAACTCCGCTACAGCCGTCTTTGATTGTCGGTGGCCGCATTTTGAGTGGATCGTCATTAAAAACCATCTTTGCGCGCTCATCGTGGCATTGTCTTCTCCCATAGAATCGCAACGGTCGACAACCTTCGGGGACAGAGAGTGCACCGACTTTACGCTACTAATAACTCCGATTACCAGAACGCACGCTTACTTTTGTAAAACGCTAAGGATGGATAATTATCGCAAAGATGAAAAGATCGTTTAAGCAAGCTAAATATCTATCGCTGAATGTTAATCTGCAGAAGAGCGTTTAGATAATCATTCAAAAAGCATACGATCTTGCTTCTTTTAATTACTGAAAACGTCTCTATATTCCTATAAAGTGGCAGTTAGTGTCATTGCTATTTAAATTAGCCTTCAACTGTCATGCTTCCTGCTGAAAAGAATAAAACGTCCTGATCACTCAATCAGCAGTGATGTCAGCAAATTCCCAATAGTTCTCCAACAGATGGGGCACCCCATTTCAGCCCCCCCCCCCCAACATGATTGCGTTTGCGGTAGTACTTCATGTACACACGTCTAGTTATTGTGGAACGATGTAAACATCAAGCTCTAAACACCTTTTTACGGTGGCTAGTTAGTCACGAACCACGCCCATATACGCAATTCAGCACAATAACGCTTCGAATTCTGAGTTTTCTCCTACGTTTACTTTTACCGTTTACTATTACCATGGATACTATTACCAAGATTTCACAAATTGATAATTAACCTTTCCGGAGTGTCAATCAAACTTAACAACTGACAACTCAGAATTGCTATAAATACGCGCATGTCCTACAAACACACATGTTGGACCACACACGTGTTAATGTATGTTTACGCTGGTGGCGGCGGGGCTTAGAGGAAAGGACCATTGACTGAGGTGACTGGCATTGGCGCATTTTCCAATTGCGTTTGCAAGTGTCTAAATTGCTAAGGAGTTTTATCTTGTTTAGCAATAGAAGTATCGCACTATTAAAAAATGAATAAGCATTTGTTTTATATTGTTGTAAAAACACGGACACTTGTTTAGTTTTCGTCGAGAATCGTCGAGAAAATGTTAAATTGTGAACACACATAACAAGCCACATGCTCAACATAAACAGGGTTTTAAGGAAAAGCCTGATTTCTGTAAAATCCTACACGCTACCTCCGAGAGCATTTGGCGACATTGATTGGTCGATAGAATCATGGAGCCTTCTCAATTAAGCCGGGAACAACGACGCAGTACACAGTAGACATTTCCAGAGTGTCAGTCAAACTTAACAGCTGAACAGGGCTAGGAATACGCGCGTGTCCTACAAACACGCGTGTTGTCCCACATGCTCACGTTGTTGCGCATGTTTCTACACTGTCGTTTTGTTGGACATTAGCCACAATATAAAAGGGGCGGGGCTTAGCGAAGAGATTCATTAGGTCTACAATGATTTACAGTGTTAATCATTACTTTGAAATGTAGCAACAATGTAGCAATTAGTATGTAAACACGACTATACTTAGCAGTACGATAGGTGCATTAAAATAGATATGGCTATTTTACAGCAGCTCTTATGCATGCACATGCGCATTAAATACCTGTGATTATTACATGTATAGTTACTAGTTAATGTCAATGTAAGAAATATAGTGGCGGATTTAAGGGGGCTTGGGCCCCATAATTTTTCTAAATTATTTTTTAAAAGATGGGAAAAGAAAAACAATTATATTTAAATGTAAGTCTGGGAGTGCCATTTCAGGCAATCCAGAAGTACCATTCATAAAACTTCTTACCTCCGGCCAAACCATGTTGGAATTTTTATGAGTATTTAAGTATGAGTATAAACATGTAGCAGGGAAAAGAAGTGCGCTTTATAACCTCAGATGAAGAGGTGTATTATATAATGCCTACACCAGTACCAGTATTACATATCCCTCCATTTATGACAGTTTATCCTTCTAAATTTCTACTCTAATTCAAATTCCTAAATCTGCCACTGTTTTTGAATATTCATATCTGTTTGTAAGTTTCTGAAGTATATAAAGATAGAATTCATCTGTTAGGTTTGTTATAACAAATACGGGTATAAAGTGCACTTCTTTTCTTTGGTCACTGGGTGAACATGCTTTAAGAGCGTTTCTGTCAGTAATCAGCGCAGGAGCAAGGTAACCCCACCAGGCACCCATTTATGCTCCTGGGTGGGAAGAAGCAATGCAGATAAAGTGCCTTGCAAGGAGCGAAATGCACAGGATCGAAACCCCGACCTCGAGGTTGGGAAACCAATCCGTTCCCGCTCCGCCAAACCGCTTCCATAATACTCGGGATTTTCTGAGAGGTGATACAGTTCTCGTCATTTTTCGTTTTGCTGTTCAGTTGTTCGGTACTATACTTTTATTGTTTGGCTTGTATATATTTTACTTTTCTCCTCTTCGAAGGTTTTCTGAAATAAATTTGCATTTGTGTTTGAATTGTGTAATCTTGAATGATAATGTTATAAATGATTTTGATTATTAAAGGAATTACATGCTGCATTTATAACTGAAACTGATAATAGAATTTTGTAAATTTATTATATTATTATTACAATCTTTAATGACAGTGGCCTATCCAGTATAGAAAGAAATTGGCCATTCACGGCCCTCGTTAAAACAATAAACATGATCACTACTCACATATTATATTTCTTGCATTTAAATTCCGTGAATTATAAAACTAATGTTTAGACATTTTTTAAAGAAATAATAATGAAGAATATGTCCTATCTCTGTTCAAAATTGAAATGTTATAGCACTACTTCGATTCATCTGTCATATCACTAATCCACCCATCCATCATTCCATCCATCCATTCATTCATCCATCCACCCTTCTTTCTTCTTCAATTCTTCCATCCACACATCCAGATGCCAGAGCAATAAGAAATAAGATACGATTATGTACATTTGCATAAACTACAGAAAGTAGATGTTAAAAGGATGTACAGTGACACATTTCTGCATGCTGACATGTTGACCTGATTTTATTGTTGGAGCTCTAACATTTATGGACAGTTGTGTTTGAATGATCTCAACTGAAGTGATCTCGGCGTATTCTGACGCAATCTTATATCAGAGAACATCGCATATATAGTGGCCCGTGAATCATGTATACCTTCAGCATTATCATCCTCTTAAAAACAAAAAGGGTCTAGCTATGACTATATGTAACTAAATCAAAATACTGTATTCAAATCTTTATAAGCTATGATACTTCAGAGCCTCGATATTTCAACTGATGTGTCGCACACGCGTATTAGCTTTCGTTGGTTTCCATAACACGTGCAACGTCACAAACGTTTTCACTTTTAATGAAATCAAACCAACATTCGGTGTAACACAAGAATCGTATAAATTTACCTCAGAATAATAAGATCCGTCTTTATCTACATAATATGTATAATGTTGGTCTGTTTTTTACCAAGCTTTATAAAATGTCAATTTTATATTCAACTTTATTAATATCTTAAAGCGGCATTTTTTTTCACGAGTCGATACATTGCATGCGCAAGGTAGTTGTCAGGACTGTGAGTGTATGTATGTATTATGTCAATGCAAGGTAATTCAACAGAAGGACGCACATCTCCGTTCTCGAACATAGCACGTGCGTACAGTCCTTTGATCTTTACTGTGGCATCGACAATCCGATACTAGTTGCGAGTACAGCCGTCAATTATTAATCTATGCGTGCCATACGTTTTATGGTGTTAGTTACTACCTCCATGCTATCATGTTATTCATTTTGGGTACTTCTCAATGTCTGTTACATCTGATTTCTTTTGACCGCGAGCTTGTTAAATGCTTCTATAAACTGAAATTTGATTTGTGAAAATTGACCAAGAAAATGAAAAGTTATAGCTATTGAAAATTTACGAATTTTATGAA